TTGTGCCCCATCATATGCCGACCTCCACCTGGGGTGGTGGGAGTCTCAAATGGTATTCACGGATCATATGGTAAAATATACAAAGCATATAAAAATCTGGAAAAGATACATCGATGACGTGTTTATCATTTGGACAGATACCTCGGAACTGTTTTTGGACTTCGTCCACACTCTCAACTCCAACAATATTAATCTCAAACTGACTAGTGAAATTGGTGGCAATAGAATTAATTTTCTGGACCTCACCATCTCGCTGAAAGAAGAAGGGTGCCTCATCTCAACTCTGTTCCGTAAACCAACGGCAACTAATAACTTGCTGAATTGGTCTAGCCATCATCCCCCTTCCCTAAAGAAAGGGATTCCAACTGGACAATACTTGCGCCTTAGACGCAATTGCTCTACATTGGATGATTTTAAACTAAAGGCTAAGACCTTACAACTCCAATTCAAACAAAAGGGGTACCCGAATAGATGCTTAAAGCACGCTTATAAGCGGGCCTTACTGTCAGATCGGAAAGACCTTCTAATCGAACATAACCCAGAGCCATCACAGGCAGTCATAAGATGTATAGGGAATTTTGATGCCGGCTGGCATCAAATGATGCAAATCCTGGACAGATTCTGGCCCCTTTTACAACAAGACCCACACTTACGGAAGGTAATCACACATAAGGCTTCAGTAACAGCAAGAAGGGGACGCAACATCAAGGACATGTTGGTCCCTAGCCATCTCAAGACTACACCCCAGAAAACATCATGGCTGAAGTCCCCAGTCTTAGGGACCTATCAATGTGGGAAATGTAAGGCATGTAGGTTTATACGTAGACCCTCCAAAACATTCCCAGACTCCCTCGGCACACAGGAATTCAAAGTAAAGAATTTCTTTAACTGTCAGTCCAAAGGGCTTATCTACCTACTTTCCTGTTCGTGCAAAAAACTGTATGTGGGAAAAACCTTTAGGATGTTTAAACTTAGGATACGGGAACATGTCAATTCGGTAAACCCCACAAGACAAATCAACACCCCTATCTCTAAACATTTGAAACTACATCATGGGGGCTCATCTGAAGGAATCAGATTTAGTGGTATTGAAAGGGTTACCTTGGGACCAAGAGGGGGGGATTTAGACAAGAAGCTACTCCAAAGGGAGAGCTTCTGGATCTATAAGCTCAAAACCCTGTCACCCTTGGGACTTAACGAAGGTTTCTCATATACACCATTTATTGCAGATCACTGATACCAGGTGTGGGACTCAGACCTATATACGGGCAGTGGTACTCGGCGGGTGATCTCTGCACTAATCTATTCTGAGTGAGCCTTATGGCCTGATACACTTGTAAATTTGTAAATATAGCGCGGTTTGTTCCACAATGGATATATTCTTTGCTTATTACTATTACTACTATTATCACTCTTCTTTTCTATTTATTAATTATTATTTTTTATCATATAAATTTATTCTCATGATTACCGGATGAGGACCACTAAATCGCTAATGCTTGAACTCTCCCAAGGAAATAGCTATATAATGACTATAATACCAATAATGTTCCTAGACCAAGCTTGCTGAGCACTTGAATGAAAATATCAATGGCCATACCAGTCTGAAAATGCCTGATCTCGTCAGATCTCAGAAGCCATCCAGACTTGGGCCTGGCTAGTACTTGTATGGGAGACCAACTAGGAACCTCAGGTGCCATAAGTTTAAAGACCTCTTGACAAAAAGAATGCTAGCCTTATTATTATTTTTTTATTTTATTTTACGGACTAAGTCATATCTGGTCATTCAGAGGTTCATATTGTCAAGTGACTCAGTGTACAGGATATAGCGGCAGGATGTACCATGCTAATTTTGCATCCTAGCATGGGTCCTATGAACACTAAATATATTTATTATCATATATCCTTGCCTGGGACGGGGGAGTGGGAGTTAACAACATCCCAGGACCCCTTATCATTCAATTTTTCTCTTATTATTGGGGTGTCCTCTCATATTCTTTACTACATCTTTAATAGATTCAGTATTAGAATAATATGTAATCAGCACTGCCTTATATTTTCAGCTGATTCTGTACATCCTATATAGTACACATTGGTACTTTGGAATGATACATTATCAATATGCAGCTTATCAATTTGAGCCTTAATTTGGACAATTTCGGTTTCTCCATACACAGAGAATACCTAGCTCCGCCCATCTGTCACAGGGGATCAACCCATGTGAGGATGATGGACAGGAGAGGCTCGGATGGGCGGTACTGCAGCACTATGATGAATGAGCCACGCCCCGTTAGGAGAATGCCGGATACGTCACGTGACGCATGACATCACAGGTCACGTGACCGGCTGAGGGATTTCCCCTTCATACAAATGAATGAGCATTAGCAATCACAGAGGAATAGCCAGGATATTAGAGGCAGCTGGGGAGGTATACACCCCCACACTCCATTGGCTACAAGGTAATCATGCTTCCCGGCAATTGGGGTATTTAAGAGGCTTCTCTTCAGTTATCTGTTGGCCCCTGACGAAGGTGCATCTCTCTGCACCGAAACGTACGTTGGGCGTTTTTTCTGCACTGGGCACTGGTGTTTGGAGCACCATGATCACCATTTAATTTAACTTTATTTTATATCGTTTGCTTCTTTTCTTTCCTATACCTATCTAGCTAGCTTTACAGGGAGAGAGGCTTTATCAATGCTAATTATCAGTCTGTTTTTGACTGATTTTTTTACTTCTATTTTCAGTCCTTATCTCTCTCTGTTTTTCTTAATATGTTTCTAGTGTGACCAGGATACTTCCTAGGATGCATGGATTATAGAGACTTAGCTACTGTATACTCCTATCCCTATAGCAGATTACAATAAAGCTTAATTATAAGGGGGAGTGAGGTTATCTTTTTTACTACCTCTTGATCTATACTACCCTGGGCTGGCATAGGATTGTAGGTTCACTTATATATACTTTGTTTAATTAGGGTCTCTGACCATATTATTTCTAATAGCCAGGTTCTATATTTGGAACATCGCACTATACATAGATATATTTTTTCCAGTCAATGCAGTAAGTTTCATTCATATAATTGAGACGGTCTGCATATTTCTTTGTTCAAAAGATCTAACCTCCTGGAATAAACCACAAGCAGAATCAACATACTGTCCACGCCACCCTCGCGGCAGAATCGCAGTTCTCAATGCTCCTGAGAGCTCCTCTTCTGGGTCTGCGGTGGTTCCTTCTATCCCTCTCACAGCCGATGTCCACGGTGAGCATGCTGTCAAGGCAAGACGGCGGCCACTATGCGGACCCGGCGTTCTGCACAGGGAGCAGGAGAGTTGCAGACCCATTGGGGAGGAACAGGTCAGGGATAGTGATGTCGCGAACCCGAAATTTTCGGTTCGCGAACGGCGAACGCGAACTTCCGCAAATGTTCGCGAACCGGCGAACCGGGCGAACCGCCATAGACTTCAATGGGCAGGCGAATTTTAAAACACACAGGGACTCTTTCTGGCCACAATAGTGATGGAAAAGTTGTTTCAAGGGGACTAACACCTGGACTGTGGCATGCGGGAGGGATCCATGGCAAAACTCCCATGGAAAATTACACAGTTGATACAGAGTCTGGTTTTAATCCCACCAAGGGCAGAAATCACCTAACATTCCATAAATCATGAATATGGATTGACACCTGACGCCCTTGACCTTATTGACACCTTGACATATGGATTGACACCTGTCCTCAGAGCCCTGATGCACACGGACACAGAACAGAATAGAGACTGGTGCCCCTACATAGGGTCACTTGGCAGATATGGATTGACACCTGTCCTAAGGATCCCTGATACACACTGACACAGAGCAGAATAGGGACTGTTCCCCCCTACACTTGGCAGATATGGATTGACACCTGTCCTAAGGGTCCCTGATACACACTGACACAGAGCAGAATAGGGACTGTTCTCCTACATAGGGTCCACTTGGCAGATATGGATTGACACCTGTGCTAAGGATCCCTGATACACACTGACACAGAGCAGAATAGAGACTGTTCCCCCTACATAGGGTCACTTGGCAGGTATGGATTGACACCTGTCCTCCGAGACCATGATACACACTGACACAGAGCAGAATAGGGACTGTTCCCCCTACATCGGGTCACTTGGCAGATATGGATTGACACCTTGTTGCAAACTGCTATTTGTAACGGGCCCTTTAAATGGCAAATTGCCCTGTTTCCCTGGGTTGTGGAGAAGCCTCTTTGCCAGCCTCCTCCCGCATGACTATGGCCCCTGGGAGATTGTGAAAATGTATGTACTTTTATTTGGTGTGTATGGCCCTTTAAGACTGTCGGTGGGCATATTGGGGCTTATGGACTCTTTATGTGACTGGTGCTGGCCCTTTAAACACCTTTTTTGGGACATCAGGAAGATTGGGACACTGCCCCTTTAAGGCCGTGTCCCCAGACTTGTTGGGGACACTGCCCCTTTAAGACGGTGGCCCCTGTGTCCCCAGACCTGGTGCAAACCCTTTGTGCCTGCCTGGCTAATTCCCACTTGGTTCAGTAAATGGGGCTTACTGAACCAAGTACCACACAGGCAGACACCCAGAAGTGGAAGTGTGCAGGCAATTTACCTCCCAGAAGCTGCGGTTAACCGCAGCTTAATTGACAATGCTGGGAGGTCTTTGTTCGTTTGCCGAACACGTGGCGGCGACCATCTTTGATCATTCGACAAGGTCAGCGGTATGTGTAGCCAAATTCATGGAACTAAAATCGGCTACACATTTCCGCGAACACCGCTGAGCTCTACCTTCTCCCCTACTGGTTTTACAGCTGCAGAGACTAAGTCCCATTTGGCGATGGGACTTAGTCGTTTTTCAGCCTGAAATAGACCGACCTCACAGCCCAAATCTATGGAACAGTTTTGGGCAGGAAAATGTGCTTGCAGTCGGTCATAAAGGGACCTCCAGCTAACTTTTTAACCCCTGGATGGATTTGGCTGATTTTTGGTTATGTTTATGTTTTAAGTGTGCTGATTCCAAATATGTAATTATGAAGATGGGATGTGTGGTTTTAAAGTTACAGTGTATGGCTAAAAACTGTATTTTTACTGCCTGTGTTTAATTATGTTAATCTCTTCCCAAACGTCATTTCGTTCAAAGTGGAGAGAATGTTAAAAAAAAATATTTTTGTTGGGAGTGTGAGAAATGCTTTTCAGCCGCTTCTAATCTTAAGCATCATTTGAGGAGCCATACAGGAGAGAAACCTTAT